ATTGGATTGACTGAGTAAAATGTTGAGAGAATACAGAGAAATGCTCAAATACTTTTGGTGAAAATAGAAATTGGCACAAAGTTATGCTGGGTAACTATGTCTTTCAAATTTTAAGAGGCAAACACTTTTTTAAAACAAAAATTTATATGCAGCAATACACAGAAATATACTGGAGCACAGTGGAGGAGAAAATTGAAATTTATTGAATCAGAAAAGCAGTGAAAATGAAAAAATATGAGCTGTTTATTAGAAAATAACAACAATTAAACAAGAAATAGATATAAAAAGAAAAAGTTGAAAATGATGCTTATAACAAAATTAATGTTAAAATCAATGAGCATATATTGTTTGTGGAAGCAGATTCATTGTACTTTTATTTGTAAATTTGTTGTTTTGGTTTTATTCAGAATGACCAGGGAATGCTGTTTTACTGACAATATTCCTAGGATAGGGAGTACACACAAAGTTTTAACATAAATATTGAAAATTCAGTTGTGGAAGATGTCAGTCACTTTAGAAGCTGAAGTTCAGAAGTGCACGATTAGTACCTGACAGTATTTCTGACTTTGAGTCAGAGGAAAATTGTCTGCATTTTAGTTTATGAGGAGAGAAGTAATCCTGCAAATTTGTAACACACAAATGTCAGCAAACTCCAAACTACATATGAGTACAGCGTGCAGGACGAAGCAGTGTCTCTCCTTTGATTCCCTTTGAAATGAATGGGTCACTCGGTCTGCACAGATGTGTAGCAGGTCCGCACTCTCAGGGCTCACTGAGGAGGCTCACACTCCAAACTTAAACTGGCAAACACCAAGCGTGAGTCTCAATCTGAACAGCATCTTCCTGTAACCCGGATGGTCAGATGTTAGACTAATGGCTTGGCAGGAGCACTGGACACAGATGAGACGGATCCATCTGGGCTCAGCTCAGCCGTTGGCACAGGTCCAGCATCTGGAATAGAGTTTCCAAGGCTGCCGTGTCTGGGTCAGGCTAAACAAAGGAAAGGAGAACAGGGATAACCAAGAGGAGCCGCACGGTTTTCTTGGAATTATGGGTTGGGTTGGGATATGATGGTTTGGTTCTAATAATTGTAAAGAACTCTTGTATCCCATTAATTCAGAGAGCTGTTTTTTGTTTTTGTTTTTAGTGAGAGGAGGTCCCAAGTCTCTAAGTGATTTTTGGTATTCTTGATGCACTTGATAAGGCTTATAGAGCACATTTTGCCAGCAATCGGAGGCAGGAGAAGGTCTCTCCTAGAGGCTGAGCAGGAGCAGTAATGCCAGAGCCAGTCTGGAGGCCTGACAGCAGTGTAAGCATATTTGTTCTGGGTCACCCTGGGCCAAGAGGGTGAGCCGTGTGCGGAAGGAGCAGGGCTGCTGAGAATCAGGCAGTGCTCCCGGATGAAATATCTTAGGTATTTCTGGAACAGGTGTGATTTAGTTTAGTCACCTGGAGAAATATCATTGCGGATTATTAAAGCTAATCTATCAAGACGAGAATTCCTTGCTACTCTGAAGACTGCCAGCGATGCCAGTAGCTGAGAGCCTGTTGCAAAAGCAGACTCTCAGGTCCAACCCCAGAGCTTAGGAGACTGGGAAATGTTGGCTTCAGCTGTCTTCCGTGCCTTTCAGGAAGAGCCTGTGGAGCTCTGCATCTCAGCAATTTTTTTTTTTCACCTAAGGTGATGCCCTCCTGGTCCCTTTCCCAACACACACACTAATTTATTTTTTCAGTTTCCAAATTGGAGAGCATGTGTTAGATGCTATCAGACAAAACATTGCTGATGTGGCCCCAACTCTACTTCAAGTGGTTTAAAGTCTTTCTGGTGATTTTAGAAGATAGAAAAATAGCTAAAAACACAAGGTAACAATTCATAAGGCATTCCATGAGAGACCAAGAAACTAAGATGGGCAGAGGGATCAGTTTACGGAGACTCCATGGAGGAGATGGATCCTAAGAATTACAAGTCAGCCAAAACCGGTTTGGCTCAGTGGATAGAGCTTCGGCCTGTGGACTCAAGGATCCCAGGTTTGATTCTGGTCAAGGGCATGTACCTTGGTTGCAGGCACATCCCCAGTAGGGGGTGTGTAAGAGGCAGCTGATCGATGACTCTCTCTCATTGATGTTTCTAACTCTCTATCCCTCTCTCTTCCTCTCTGTAAAAAATCAATTACAAGTCAGTTGCTTTAACTTAAACATTTTTTGATTCTAAGAAGTAACAACATTGAAATTCAGTATTGTATCCTTTCTCTTTAGAATTTTTGTGCCAGCTGAACTGCTATTTGTTTCTTTACTATTTTACTCTGTTGTGTTCATGTCCTACATCATCTGTCATCTGCATTCCATGATAAATCAATTTAATTATATTTTATCAGGCTATATATATTTTTCTAAAATATATTTTATTGATTTTTCTTACAGAGAGGAAGGGGGAGAGATAGAGAGCTAGAAACATCGATGAGAGAGAAACATCGACCAGCGGCCTCTTGCACACCCCCTGCCGGATCCTATAGTCACCGCCTCCACGTCCACCACACACAGTCAGCCACTCCGTTCAGACACACCACACACCCACAGATCCCACAGTCCCTTTCTCCACATACACATTATAGTCAGACCACTCCAGTCAGACACACCACACACCCAGATACAGTACACATACCACACTCACTCAGAACACTTCCTCCACACACCAAACACTCACAGATGTCACATTTGCTGCTACCACACACTCCACAGACACTCACGACACCATGCACACATAACCACATACCAACAAGGAAATAACATTCACCTCCATCACATATAACATACACACTCAGAGCACTCCATTCAGATATAGCCACATACCAACAAAGACCCTCATTCATCTATGCCACATACCACAAACACTCAGACACATCAACACAACCACAGACACCAAACTCACCTCCACTGCAAGCTCCACACTCAATCAGAGCACTCCATGAACACACACACATCCACCAGAACATAACATTTATGTCCATTACACACACCATGAACACCAGACCACTCCTTTCTGACATACTCATACACCCACGGACAACACATTCACCTGCATCACTCACTCCACTCCATGCAGACATCCCCACACGCCCACTAAAATTCTACATTCACCTCCACCACACACCGTGCACAATCACATCATTCCACGCAGATGGAGCCAAACACCCACAGACACCGGTCACCTCCACCACAAAACCATGCATACCACTAGTAAGACCACTCCATGCAGACACACCCACAAACCTACAAAGATCCCCAAGTAACTCAACCACACACACTCAGACCATGCAGAAACACCCATACACCCACTAAAATACTACTTTAACCTCCATTACGCACATTGTGAACTCAGAGCACTCAATGCAGACACACAATACCCCCACAGGTACCAGTCACCTCTACCACACACGGTCTTACCACTTATTGCAGACACACCCACAAATCCACAGACACCACATTTACCTACAACACACATGACTCCAGGTAGACATACCAACATACCCACTTAGACACAGCATTCACCTATACCACACACACCATTGCACTCTCAACCACTTCATGCAGACACACCCACAAATCCACTTAGACACAACATGCACCTACACCACACCACCCATGACCAGCAGTCAGCCTAAATAAGGGGCTGGGGGGTTTAGCCAGGAGATGAGGTGATCTTGGTGGAAAGCGGTCAAGGGAAGAGTAGGTTGGGGCCGGGGGCAACAACTGGAAGTGGTCCAGTGGGCAGGGTCCTGGGACCCTGTGAGTGGGGACCAGAGTCGCAAGTGGCCGCCAAAGCCCCTCCTTCCTGAGCTCCAGACTGGCAGCCAGCAAGAGGTTCCCTTGTTCTCAAGGAGGGGCATTCCCTGAGAATGGGGCAGAGAGCTGGCCCTCAGGGCCTGGCGACCAGACCGGTAAGTACCTGCCGAGGGGCTGAAGGGCCGAGGGGCCGAGGGGCCGAGGGGCCGGGGAAGCGGCCCGGAGTGGAAAGTGATTTTCTCGCGCTTGACACAGCTCTCTCCCCAACATCGAAGCCCATAGACAGGGCTGTGGGCGCCCCAGACACTGGGTTGTAAGCTGCCCCTTGGTGGGAAGGACTGGGGCTGCGGTGGGAGGGGGAAGGCCTCATCCCTCCACCCTGCCACCCCGGCCCGAGGCTCATGGACGCCCAAGGCTGTCCTGAGGAGAGGGCTGGCTGCTCTGCCTAGGCTTGGGGACCTGGCCAGCACCCTGTGAGCACAGGGGCCATGTGCCTTTGGGCACAGCTCCCAGAGGTGGGGGCAATCCTGTGTTTGAGGGGCAGGGCAGCCTGGCCGGTGCTGCTCGCTCATTGGTCCAATTTACAAAGGGGCGGGGTTGTGAGAACAAGGAGGGGGGCCCAGGCCCTCAGCTGAACCCGGTCAAGTCAATGAGGGGGCGGGCTCAGGTGAGCAGCTGGAGGCGGTCAGGAGAACAAGGGGGCGGGGCCAGGCGTGCAGCCTGACCTGGTGAGGGAAGCAGGAGCAAGGCTGGCTGGCTGGCGGCAGGGACACCTGTGACCCCCAGCCGGCCTAAACGGGGGGCTGGGGGCTTGGCCGGGAGGTGAGGTGATCTTGGCGGAAAGCGGTCAAGGGAAGAGTGGGTTGGGGCCGAGGGCGACAACTAGAAGTGGTCCAGTTGGCAGGGTCCCGGGGACCTGTGAGGGCGGACCAGGGTCGCAAGTGGCCGCCAAAGCCCATCCTGCCTGAGCTCCAGACTGGCAGCCAGCAAGAGTTTCCCTTGTCCTCAGGGCGGGGCGTTCCCCGCGAATGGGGCTGAGAGCCGCAAGTATTATTTTAAAATCGTGCCACTATATCATTGTATTACTAACTAAAGACCAAATAAATTATGGTACCTTTTATATTATAGGAAACAGGTTGTGACTTCCAACACCAACAGTAAAACTGGAGTCAAAGGATGTGGAAGAAAATGTTGGCCTTTTTGTTTACAACGGTGCAATGGTAGATGTAGGAAGCCTGTTGCAAAAATTGGAAAAGAGTGAAAAAGTCGGAGCTGAAGTAGAGCAGAAGGTACAGTTACTAGAAGAGAAAACAGGTGAGAACAGAATTGGATGTGTCAGTACTTCTAACGCCCTATTGGGATATCTCCATTGCGTGCCCCCAAAAATGTATACAGCTGGTAGTTCAATTTTTGAAAATGAAATGTAGTTTAATTTATAGTTTAATAAATACTAGCTTTATTATTATTCAGAGTATGTATATATTTTTGAGGGCCATCCTATATTTGTGTAGATACATACATACCTGTACATATATATCGTATGTTTCAGTCTAGACCACATAATGTAACGTTACTTTTGATCATTTTGGTTAATGGTAAGAAATTGCTTAGCTATATAAAACCTAATCTTAGATCTTCATATGTATTCTCAGGGTTTTTTGTTGTTGTTTGTTTGTTTATTTTTTTGATGTTTCTTAAAAATATATTTTTATTGGTTTTAGAGTAGAAGGGAGAGAGCGATTGAAACATCAGTGATAAGAGAGAGAATCATCATTGGCTCTCTCCTATAGGTCCCACCCTGAGGATCAAGCCTGCAACCAGGCATGTGCCCTGACTGGGAACTGAAGCTTGACCTCCTGGTTCATAGGTTGATGCTCAACCATTGAGCCATACTACACCAGGCATATTCTCATTTCTTTTTATTGTTCTGTTGCATCCTTTTCATTCATTTTTTTTTTTTTTTTAAGATTTGGCTTTTATTTTATTTTTGTTAATCTTCACCCAAGGATTTTACATATATATATATATGTGTGTGTGTGTGTATGTGTATATATATATATATATATATATATATATATGTATGTATGTATTTATTTATATATATAATTTTCCACAGAGAGGAAGGGAGCAACATAGAGAGCTAGAAACGTCGATGAGAGAGAAACATCGACCAGATGCCTCTTGCACACTCCCTACTGGGGATGTGCCTGCAACCAATGTACACGTTCTTGACTGGAATCGAACCTGGGACTTTTCAGACCCCAGACTGACGCTCTATCCACTGAGCAAAACCGGTTTCAGCTTAATATATGTATTTTTATTGATATCAGAAAGAAGGGAGAGAGGAAGAAAGATAGATATAGACATCAATGATGAGAGAGAATCATTAATCAGCTACCTCCTGCACACCCCCTACTGGGGATCGAGCCCGCAACCCAGGCTTGCATCCTTGACCAGAATCAAATCCGGGACCCTTCAGTGCACAGGCCGACACTATATGCCCTGAGCCAAACTGGCTAGGGCAACCCGAGGATATTTTTTCATTGATTTTTAGAAAGTGGAAGGGAGGAGGAGAGACAGAAACATTGATGTGAGGGAGACACATCAATTGTCTCCTGCAACCAAGGTATGTGCCCTTGACCAGAATCAAACCTGGGATCCTTAAGTCCGAGGGGCGATGCTCTGCCCACCTGAGCTAAACGGGCTTCATCCTCCTATTTTTGACCAGTTTCTGCTATTTTATCTAATCTATGCAATCATCTAAAAATGGAACCTGGATTTTAGAAGTAATACTTAGATAAAACTTTAAGTGAGTATTGCAGTTTGCTTTGTAATGAAATTGACATTTGTAGGCTCTTTAAAGGAATTGCATATGCTTCTTTTAATAGATGAAGATGAAAAAACCATATTACATTTGGAGAATTCCAACAGAAGCTTCTGTGGTGAACTCAGAGAAATTAAAAAGGACCTTGGTCAGTTACAAGATAACTTAACAATTTCAGAAAATATGAATTTGCAATTTGAAAACCAACTGAATAAGACAATCAGAAACTTATCCACAGTAATGGATGAAATCCACACTGTTCTCAACAAGGTTAGTAGTTTTGTACTTGCAATGTTTTCATAATTTATTCCAGTTTTAAAAATCTATTTCGCACTATTTCTTGGTGATTTTTTTTGGAGCGAATAATGGTAGCGTTCTGTCCTTCATTAGATTGTTCAAAAGCAATTCCCTAAATATTGTATTTTTCTAGAACCTATTCAGGATGTCAACATGGTTTAGGTGAACAGATTTCATATAGCAAATTTTATTTGTATTCCTCAGTGAATTTAAATTTGAGGAAGATAAAACCATTCATTTCTTTTAAAAACCCATTTACTATTGGGCAGAGGAGAAACTCTTTGGCACTCTTAAAATTAATTGACTAGTATTCTTGAAAAAAATCCAGTAACTCAATGCCATAATAAACTAACTTTAATAACAGATCTAAAATCTTTTTCTCTTTCAGAACAAAAAGAAAAATATCTGTAGTGCAGGGAATTCACTGCTGTGATTCCTTAGAACTTCTCATTTCTCAGGGCTCAGATGGCTCTCTCAAATACTAGAAGCCATTCTGCATAGAATTTAAAGACTTGAACATAGTTGCCCCACAGGGTCAATTTTCCATAGATATTAAAATGGATATCTCTGTTTACTATTTGTTATAGTTACATTTAAGAGATTCTGATAAAATATACCTTTTTTGTTATTTTATATAGGATAATGTGAAGAGTGAAGATAAAGATCAGAAATCCAAGGAGAATGGTGCAAGTGTATGATAATATGTGTAATGGTGAAGAAATGGTGTTAAAGAATGTAATATAAAAAATCATGATACAAGAATGTCTGGAAGTGATGCATGTTTGATTTTAGTAGTATAAATATCTGTTAGTACAAACGATGTATAAAGTTTTATGAATGTGAGAGTCTCTGGTTTTGAAAATTGCTTGTAATTCCTGGCATTCAAATTATTAAACACTCCTTGAGTGAAATAATTTTGCATTGTAAAATTTTCTAGATCAACTTTGTTATAGTTTTAACACCAGTTTAACATCAGTTTAAGTGACGGTAGAATTTAATTACCAGCCGAGACCGGTTTGGCTCAATGGAAAGAGCGTCGGCTTGGGGACTGAAGGGACCCGGGTTCGATTCCGGTCAAGGGCATGTACCTTAGTTGCGTGCATATCCCCAGTAAGGGGTGTGCAAGAGGCAGCTGCTCGATGACTCTCTCTCATCGATGTTTCTAACTCTCTATCTCTCTCACTTCCTCTCTGTACAAAATCAATAAGATATATTTAAAAAAAAAGAATTTAATTACCAAATGTCTTTTATTAAAATACCTAGGGGGAAAAAGAGAGAAGAGAAGAAATAAAAACCTAGAGAGTTGCTGTAATTTTATTAATAGAATTATTATTTTAAAATTTTTAAGTTTTAGTATAAATTATAAAAAAGCATGCTGCTTAAGTTTTGCAAGTTTTGACCCAGACTTTTTTTACTCGTCATGAAAGGATATTCCTCTAATATCTGTCTCTGAAAACATTCATTAACAATTTAATTTATCCAGCAGAGAGTACATAAAAATCTAAGAAGCAATTGACAGTTGATATTATCTGTAGAAGGCTTTACACAGAATTAACAGTTCTGATGTTAATGTTACTGCTTTCAGTGAATTGTTCAACTTTCTAAGAAGAGCACCCGTATTATAATTTGGAGGATGTTTTACAGTATATATCAAGTGTACAATTCAGTACCAAGCCAGTAGATGTCACTATGATGTCTTAAGTTAAGCCTTGTCTAATTAAAAATAATATTTTTTATTAGTCTGTGTACTTCCTTCAGAATTGAGTGGGTACATAAGAGTTGATTAGCTGGCCCTTGTCGGTTTGGCTTAGTGGATAGAGTGTCACGGGTTTGATTCTGGTCAGGGGCACATGCCTGGGTTGGGCTCCATCCCCCGTGGGGGGCATGCAGGAAGCATCCTATCAATGATTCTCATCATTGATGTTTCTCTCTCCCTCTCCCTTTCCCTTTCTCTCTCAAATCAATAAAGATAATATTTTTTAAAAAGTTGATTAGCTGTTGAGTGGAAAAAGTAGGAAATGTGATATACCGTTAAACAGTGTTTCTAATCAGGTGGTAAATTTATCCCCAGAGGACATTTAGCAGTGTCTGAAGACATTCTACTTGTCCCAGCTGGGTGAGTGCTTACTAGCATCTAGGTGCTAGAGGCCAAGGATGTTGCTAACCATCCTACATTGCATAGGATTGCCCCTATAACCAAGAATTATATGTAATGTAAAATGTCAATAGTATCTATGTTGAAAAGCTCTGAATGAAAGTAATATATGACTTTTAAGTTCCTGTTTGTGGTCTTATTGTTTGTTTAACTTTGAAGTCAGATTACAGATCGATCCATAATTATACAGTTATTTTTGCCTATTTTAGATTAAGATGAAACATTATAGGGTGGTTGGAAAGTTGTTCATAAGGAAAAATCTTGAAGATAAACTTTGTAACTAAAAGTCAGTAAAGAGAGAGCTAATCTGAGGCATGGAAAACGCACAACCCTGAGGTCCATCGAGCAGCTGAGACTCCCAGAGCTGCGCAGACACATGGATTCGGGGGAGATCTTCAGTCACCCACGGAAAGGTCAGAGTTTGCGGGGATAGCCTAAGGGATTTGGGTCCTGAGGCTGCGGCAGCTACGCAGCCTGGGAGCTCCGGCCCCGCCTCCAGGGTAGCTGGGAGCGCGCACTACCGCCCGCGTAGGCGGAAAGGAGCCCAAAGAAGGCTGCAGCGACATCTAGCGCTGGGTTTGAAGTAATCCCCCCCAGAAGCGGGGCTTTTTTAAAATGCCAGGGGACACGGGACAGAGTGTTAAGAATGGCGGCTGTCCCGCCAAGGGCGGAACATCTGGACACCTTGGCACCGGTTCCCATTCACCCCCTTGCTTCTGAATACTAGGGAAGGACTGCCCAGTTGGGCATAGCCGGGGAAATTGCAGGGGGAATTTGCCTTCTGGAAACAAGGGATCGGAGCCAGAAGACATAGTCCTGGAGCCAGCTAGAGCCATAGAGAAAGAAGGCCAGAGCAACCAAAAAGACTGGGAGGTCAAACCGGAAACACTGACACCTAAGAGCTGAATTACAAACTCCCTTTTTTTTTCCCTTTTCTTTTTTCTTTTAATTAATCAAAAATAAACGGACACAAATAACTAAGATATAGCCTGCTTAAAATTAAGGTTTACCTTACAAAACTGAGGTGCAGTGGAACGCTGGGGACTGCAAGACTGTCTGGTCCGAGAATCAGGAGTGCCAAATACATAAACAGAGGAAGTGAATGACCACTACTGGACATTTTTATGCTAACTTTACTATTCTCTATTTTATTTTCATTTTTTACATCTTTTATTTAATTTTCACTTTTTATAGCATTTACTTAAGAAAATTTTTTTCTATTTTTTTCCTTACTTCATTTTACCTTTTCAATTATTACATTTTTCAATCTCTATCATCACTATTACTACTGCTATTTTGCAATTTTTGTTTCTTTCCTTTTTTTTTGTTAGTTTGTTTGTTTGTTTGTCTGTTTGTTTCCTCTCCAGTACCATTTTATTTTTTCTGTATTTTACATTGGGAATAACCTCCATTCTATTTTAATCACTACTATAGCATCATTCAACCCTATCTCAACTTGACCTTTACACCATCACTCTCTTTCTAAACTTTACCCTTTTAGTCTCCGGTTTATCCTATTCCTTTCCAGCTTTAGATTTTCCTCTATTCTTTCTGTATACCCCCTGCTAAAGCTCTCACTATACTTATAGACCCAAGTTTCAATCCCTGATCTAAGTGTATAAATACCAATTTCTGTACTATATTAACTAGTTAAAAAAAACTGTTCTCCCCTCTATCCTTTTCGCATTGTTTGTGTGAGGGTTGATTATTGTGAATTTTTATGCTTTTTAGTGAAATTGTTATGCTTATTCCTGTGTTGTTATTGTTGCTTTGTATTTTTTTTTAAATCCTCTGTTTTTGTTTGTTTCTATTACTTCTGTATATCATAGCCTTACTTAATAATAGTGGATATTGTAGTTTGTATTAATCTCCAAGTATTGTTACTGGCATTGGCTGGGTTCAGTGGTTGTTCTATGGCAATTTTATCCACATATATATAGTTTGTTTCCCATTTCTCTTTTAGTTTGCTTTTTCTCTCCCTTTCTCTCTCTCTCCCTCTCTCTCTCTCTCTCTCTCCCCCTTTCTTTTTTTCCCTGTTTTCCAACTTTATTTTGTCATTACTTTTTTTCTTCTTTTTCTATCTCTTTATCCTTCTTTTTTTATTTTATTTACTTAATTTTTTCAATTTTAATTTTAATTTTATAAAAATTTTTCTTTATTTTATTTTTACCTTTCTTCCTTCTCCCCTATCCCCTAAGTTGCCTTTCTCTAGTGGTCACCTTTATTAGAGGTTATTAATATTGTAAATACATTCCTGTTAAGTGCCTCTTGTGTTGTATCTGGTAGTGTTGTATATTGTACCTTTAAATCAAGCAGGAGAGGAACACCACATAACCAGACATCCTGAAAAGAGAGGCCATGGGGAGACAAAAACATAGTCCGCACATAAAAGAAAAGCTGGCATCACCAGAGAAGAAAGTAGAGTCAGAGGCAACCAGCCTACCAGAATTCAGAATAATGATCATAGGATGGCTAAAAAGAATAGAAGAGAAATTTGACAATAACCAAGAAGAACTGAGGAAGAACCATGAGGAATTGAAGAAGAGCCATGAGGAATTGAAGAAGAGCCAAGAGGAATTGAACAAGAACCAAGATAAATTGAAGAAGAACCAAGAGGAATTGAAGAAGAACCAAGAAGAAATGAAAAATGACATCGCTACCATGAAGAACTCAATAGAAAGCATCAAGAGTAGACTAGATGAAGCAGAGAACAGCATCAGTGAGCTAGAAGATAAGATGGAAAAAAATACCCAAGTAGAACAACTTCTAGAAAAAAAGATTAAAAAGCAGGAGGAGAGCCTACGGGAGCTTTGGGACAATACAAAACAAAATAATATTTGAATAATAGGGGTTCCAGAAGGAAAGGAAACTGAGGTAGATATGGAAAAGTATTTCAAGAATAATGACAGAAAACTTTCCTGAAATAGAGAAGAAAAAACCCACACAAATCCAAGATGCTCGCAGAGTCCCAAGCAAATTGAATCCCAGAAAACAGATTCCAAGGCACATTATAATTAAATTGGCAAACAACAATGACAAAGTAAGAATCTTAAAAGCAGCCAGAAAGAGACAGAAAGTTACATACAAAGGAACCCCCATCAGACTAGCAACTGATTTCTCAATGGAAACTTATCAGGCCAGAAGGGAATGGGATGAAATATATAAAGTCATGCAAAGGAAGGGTCTGAATCCAAGAATACTGTACCCAGCAAGGCTATCAATCAAAATTGAAGGGGAAATCAGGAGCTTCACAGACAAAAAAAGACTGAAGGAATTTATCTCCACCAAACCAGCAATGCAAGAAATGCTAAGGGGTCTACTCTAAAAATAAAGAAATATTAAGTGAAGAAGGAACACGGGTATAGATTAAAAATGGTGTCAAATGAGTACCTATCATTAATAACTTTAAATGTAAATGGTTTAAATGCTCCAATCAAAAGACATAAGGTGTCAGATTGGATAAGAAAACAAGACCCATACATCTGTTGTCTACAAGAAACCCACCTCAGAAAAAAAGATGCACACAGACTGAGGGTGAAGGGA